ATTAAACGGAGTATCATCTGCATAGCAATGGAAATTTATTTTGTGCTTCCTGATAATCTTTCCTATTATTATAATTAATTGATTATAATTAATCATGAACAATTTTCATAATCATTTAATCATGTAGTGGTTCATATTTTATTTTTACAGGTTCTCAAATGTGAGGATTTGCTGCTATTTTATGTTGCATATCATTATCATCAACTTTATTTTTATAGCACATTTAACACAGCAACAGCTGACCAAAGTGCTTAACACAAAACACAATAATAAAACAAAATTACAATTAAACAACCACCCATCATAAAACAAAAATCCTCAACAAACCAAAGCCTTCATACTGGTTCAAATGCCAAAAGGTACAGATGAGTTTTCATATACACTAACAATGGACAACGACAACGAGGGGGCCTGCCTAATGTATAGGGGCAATGAATTCCACAACTTTGGAGCCCCCACAGCAAAAGCCCTGTCCCCATTTCAGCCTAACCCTCAGTATCTCAAGAAGCAGCTGATCAGCTGATCTGAGGCACCGAGAAGGACTATAGGGATGCAACAACTCTGTAGGATAAGAAGAGACCAGACCATTAAAGACTTATAAACAAATAAAAGAATCTTAAAATGAATTCTAAAATACACCGGCAGCCAGTGAAGAGAAGCCAAAATGGGAGTGATATGCAACCCTTTGTGCCCCCCAACCAGTAAACTAGCAGCCACATTTTGAACTCTCTGAAGATGAGCAAGGGACATCTGACTAAGCCCAAAATAGAGCGCATTACAATAATCCAGGTGAGACATAATCAACACATGTATTGCTGTCTCAAAGTATTGCCGTGAAAGAAAAGGCTTTACCTTTGACAGCTGTTGAGGGTGAAAAAAGCTAGCCCTTACAACCACGTTCACTTGATCTTCCAATCTAAAATTGGAATCTATTTTGACACCTAGGCTTTTAACAGTCGACTGCACATACAACGGGCTAGATGAGGACTCAACATCAGCAAACCCGACAGACATCGTCCTATCCGACAAATAAAACCTGAACCACTCTAAGGCAGTACCACGGATGCCCACTAGCTCCTTAAGTCGAGATATTAGGATATCGTGGTCAACCGTGTCAAAAGCAGCGGTCAGATCCAGCAAAACAAGAATCACATTGCCACCAGCATCTGTTGCCAGGTAAATATCATTAAAAACCTTTAACAATTCTGACTCTGTACTATGCCGAGTTTTAAAACCAGATTGAAAAACCTCCAATACATTATGCTCATCTAAAAAAGACTTCAATTGTATATAAACCACTTTCTCTAGTACTTTCGAAATAAAACACAACTTGGAAATAGACCTGCAATTATTCAGAATAGCACAATCAAGACCTGGCTTCTTGACCAAATGTTACACAACTGCATGTTTACAATGTCCAGGGACAACACCTGAGGACATACTGCTATTAATAATATTAATAACCAGCTTTCCTATACAAGGAAAAACCTCCTTGAATAAAGACGGGGGAAATGCATCTCGAGGGGAGCCAGATGGCTTAACCTGGCTAACTACCAGGGTTCCAGCCTCATCCTATGTTGCAGAGTTTTCAACGGGACCACCAAGTCCATTATGGAGCAACAAGAAAAGTCAAACCAGGAACTAAGTCCCTCTGCATCACCAGCGGCCACGTCCGACTGAGCAACAGCTTGGTCAAACGCAGCAACAAACAGGCCAGCAGTGGAAGAATTAAGCATCAGGCAACGCTGAGCAGGTACACGTACTGCACCCACTGCACCAGAAAGACCAGCCTTGAACACAATAGCCATATGATCAGAAAAAACATTTATACATATATCTAGATTTGACACAGGCACCCCATAAGAAACAACAAGATCCAACGTATGTCCCTGCTCATACAGTATGTGGGCCCAGACACATATTGCACTAAATCAAAAGCATCAATAATAGCTAAAAATTCTTTCACCAGTGGTTTATCTGGGCAACACACGTGTATATTAAAATCACATAATAAAAGAATATGATCATAATACCAGTCAAAAAATTCTTCTTCTTGTTATATTTAGGTGGCCTATAGATAACAGCACACAGTACAGGGTCAGACTGACCCACTTCAAATAAAGTCAATTCAAAACTGGAAAATGAAGGTAGTGATAATGTGCACTGTTTACCCATAAAATTGTTCTTAAAAACAGATGCTGTCCCTCCTCCACGGCCAGACGACCGCGGCAAATTAAAATAAGAACATCCAGCCGGCAAGAGTTCCACAAAAGTACTAAACTCACCAGTATCAACCCATGTCCCGGGAACTAAAAAAATCCCTCAAGATGAATGATGAAAGTTTTATTCTTTAACGATCGAGCGTTCACCAGGCCAATCCTTACCAGGTCCTGGGCCTGTGACACTGCCAGCCGAGGAACCAGTCGAAGTGTCTTCAAAACATGATGATCCACCCCACGCTGTCAAAGCCGAGCAAGGCAGGGCCTAACAGGCCAGGGACCTCCATCGCCACCCACAACAGGCACCAAACAGGCATTGACACAATCCAAAAAACACCGAGACACCACAAAGGAAGAATATAGTCCCCAGTCCATCCAAAAAAGGGAAGGTGAGTATATCAGACGGGTTTTCAGCTTCACTAGCTGACCACTACGCCTACCCCGACGATGGGGACGTTTCCGCCAGGGAAGTAAAGCCGGAACCCGAAAAAGATGGGCCGGAATCCCCGACAAAACCGGAGGAACAGTCTTATGCCCGTCACGTTCAAATATACATAAATTACCAACTTTAAATTGAAAATCCAAAAGAAATTGGCGATCATACACCAAGACTCCGTCCGTAGAGGTCTAACAACTAAAATTAAGACAAACTTCAGTCAAAGGAAGAACATCAGACGAGCAGCAGCACACATTAGAGCCATCTTGACCTTACTCCTCACTGCCATCATGCCTGAATACTTTACATGAAGCCTTCATCATCATATCAATTTAGATTAAAGATTTTATTGTCTTGCACTGTCACACTGGGCTCTGGGAACTTGTGATGGGCATTTTCACAGTTTTCTGACTTTTTATACACTAATTTAATACTTGACTAAATTAAAAATAATCAACAGATAAGTCAATAATAAAAGTCGCGATTAGTTGCAGACCTAATAAACAACTTGACCAGAAGACGTGCTAAGGTCTAACAACATGCACTAATGCAGGACAGTCCTGGTGTCAGAAAATAACATGGGGAGTGGAGAAGACCACAACATAAAGCAGAATGACATTTGCCTGATAAAGTGTTGGGATCTGTTTCTCACTGATCCTCACCTTCCAGCAAAGCCTGAGACATCATCATAGCTGTCGTAAACCTCCAGGTAATCGGCCATACACTCCATGTCCTCCTCCACATCAAACTCCAGGAAGCGGAGGCGGATCCTCTGACCTAGGCGCACACGGATGTGCCAGTAGCAGATCTGCTCGTCCTGGTACTCGTCAGGGAATCCTGGAGACTGGATGATCTTCTGCGGGTTTGTCAGCACACCACCACATTCCTTGGCTGCAAAACACATGAGCGAGATGCACTGATTTGTCTTCTCAGACACAGGCTTTAATGCTGAGTTTCCTAAGCAAACTGTGAGGACACTTTACAGATTCACACCATTTTCATCCTCAAACCATTCACTGAACTCTCCTCGTGCCCTGCGGATGGGGGCGCTGTCATCCTGGAAGAGGCCACTCAGTTATTCAGGGTTTTCCTTTACTTTGTCACCATCTGTAGTTTCTACATAATCAATTTCCTCCAAGTCACATACAATATAAATGAATGAGATACAAACAGATCTGGTGTTGTGCTCATTTCCTGCTTTGAAAACAACTGAGACAATTGGTGCTCTTTAGGATTAAAACTGGGGACATGGTCTTGTTCTGCCAGAGCAAGACAAATGACAAACTCATTAAAAAGTTGCTGAGAACTGCCACAGAATAGCAACATATAATGAAGATTAATGTAGATGTCAAGTTGTGACAGACTCACTCCAGACTGTTGAGGGCAAAACCTGACAAACTAACGCCCTCCACAAACAGAAGGCAGCATGAAAACAAACACTTATTAAATTGAACTACTGTATGAGCCAGAAGAGAAACCCTTAAAGGACTCCACACCAATGAGCATCACTACTGTGTGTACCCACGGTCATCACTGCTGAAACACAGGGAGGTTTGTTTGTTGCCAACATGCCCATAGCTGCACACTGTAAGACCTGGACACATTATGAGACAATAGGCCCCTGAGCACACAAATACATGCTACACTTCTACTCGGAAGACTCACTGTCTGAGTAATCATGATTTGTGGTCAGTTTGTGTGTGGTTGTTTTGTGCCTCTTTGTAGTGTTGCATCTTTTTTTGCAATTTTTTGTCCATTTATACTCATTTTGCATCTTTGTAATAAATTTGCACATATTTGTACTTCACATCATTTTCTAGTCTTTCTGCCTTTGTCTCATGTTCTGTCTCTTTTTAGTGGTTTTGTATCTCTGTGTAGTTTTACATTTTTTTCTCATTTTGTGTTTTTTTAGTCACTTTATTGACTTTCCAATGGAAAAGTTGATAGTCCCTTCATGATTCTCTGGCCTAGGGGACCCCTGACCCCTTGGGCCCCTGGGCCTATACCCAGTAGGCCCGTTCGGTGATCCATCCACAGTGGAAGGAGATCAACAACTAAAAGAGAATTAAAGTGATGACTGTGTAAATATAAGACTTAGATACTAGATTCAGGACAAAGCTGTATCTCTATTCCAAGTCTAGGATGTGTGGTACACAGAGGGCTGGAGAAGGCCACAACCATGTGTTTCATATACCTTATAAACATTCAGTATTAATTTAGAGTAAATGGGCAATATACACTGGCAACCCATGTAAATGTTTTTAATCAGATGGTGGGACCATGCTTCTGTTCATGAGAAGTATTTTCAACTGGGGGGGTCTGTTTTTTGCATGCAAGCTCTGATTGAATTCAGAAAAGCAAAAAGAAGTCTTTTTGCTGAGAGAAGGAAATCAAATACACATGTTTAGACTGGTGAGCTTTCCCACTAAATGTCCTGGAGGGGTGAGAAGTTATAGGCTTACAGATGAACACAATTTATGTTATCCTGCTTAAACAAAAAAGCTGCTCCATCTTCTACCACACAGGTATGAAATATGAGTTATTAGGAGATGATGGAAATGTTTATTTAAAGCTCACATCTTTGCATGTTTATATGTCTCATTAGCAGTTTAACATAGAAAAAAAACCTTCCACATTTTCTATGGAAACAGCAGACAGACACAGTTGGAGACTCACTGCTGAACACAATGGATCAGTTACCAGCTTCAGGAGTAAGATCATTTTCCAGGCGCTAGCGGAGACCAACACTGAGCTTAAAGAAAAGTGACTCTTTGATTCACACAACTCCAAAGTGTCTAACGTTGCTCTGTGTCTGCTGGATGTGTAAATACACAGCTGTTTGCTAACAGCATCACTTATCATGGTTTCAGTGGTGAGAGTATGCCAGGGTTGTGTTTTCAGTTTGTTTCCACTGAGCCCAAATGGCCAAAAATCAATTTGTTGCTTGTTTAATGAGTATGTAACCTATATACTGTATTTATAATTTAGAAGCTCAAATATTAATATTTAAAATCTCATATTGGTTGGGCATTATTTCGAAACCTCAGACAGACTCACTGAAATTCCCCTCCACATTGTGACCTCCCAACATCACACACACACCTCCTTGTGAACACCCAACCCCCACACCCCCACTTTGACTTATCTGTTTGAGTTGGCACAGTCGATGACTTGGTGCACTACTCTACAGTCCTGCAGAAATAAGCTTGACTCCTACACCACTGTGCTGCTATGGACTGTTAGGACTTTTGCAAGTTTTTGTTTGTTTGGTGGTTTTGCACATATTTGGGATATAATTGTTTTGCCTTCCCACCTACTGGCGGGCAAGGCAAGATGGTGCCGTTGTTGCTGGTTCGCCGTCTGACTCTCCTATGGATTTGCTGTTTTTTGTTGTTTCTACCTTGGTTTATGATCGTCTGACCCTTCTTGAGATACGCAACTCGTTTTTTGGATCGCCCAGTATTCGCCTAACCTACAAATTCGAACCTCCATCACCGGCATCTATACCTGCCTTCTTTCTTTGGAGTGCTGGCCCCCGTCTGTTTCCCTCAAGAGATTTTTCCAGTTTTGAACTACAATCTTTTGTTTTAACCTTACACTGCCCACTGCCCTACGTTATGTGTTTTAATATACCGCCCTCTGAAAGCCAAGGATTTTATAAATGACTTTGGGGAACTCCTCGGTGTACTGATTCCACAATTTGACAGTTTTTTAATTTGTGGAGATTTTAATATTCATGTTGACTGTGCTTCAGATCACTTAACAAAGGAGTTCAGCAACTTGCTTGAATCCTTTGATCTCGTTCAGTCGGTTCTGGGCCCCACTCATTCACGTGGAGGTACCGTGGACCTTGTCATTTCTCGGGGCCTGTTGGTCTGCATCAAGGATGTATCGAACATGGCCGTCACGGATCATTTTCTTATCCACTTTGAAGTGCTGGCAGTGACAAGTGCTTCTAGATCGTTGGCCCCCTGCCAGCAACGTAGGATTATTACCCCATCTATGGCGTCGAATTTTGCCATGGCTTTCTCTGCTAATGAGCTGTGCTCCTCAGGGGCTGCAAACATCCCGGCATGTCCTGACGCTTTCCTCGGCTTATTTGACTCTACTTGTTTGACGATTATGGAGTCCATCGCGCCCTTGGTGAAAAGGAGATCTAGGAACTCTGTTGACCCATGGCTGAACGACACCACCCGCGCCCTGCGGAGACGATGCCGGCAGGCGGAGCAAAAATGGAAGAAAGATGGACTACATGTCTCCCTTACTATGTTAAGGGACAGCCTTCTTTCTTATCAGAAAGCTGTTAAAGACTCTAAATCGCAATACTTATCTAATACCATTTTGAATAATAGTCATCACCCAAAGGTTTTGTTCAATACCATTAATGCGGTTATCAATCCTCAGGCTACATTGGCTACTGAGGGCTCGGTTGTGAATTGCAATTTATTTCAGAGATATTTTATTGATAAAGTTTTGAATATTAGGCGAAACATTTCCATGTCCCTCCCTCATGTACCACCTGTATCTCAGGTATGTCATATATTTGATTCCTTTACTCTGATCTCCCTGCACCAACTTAAAAAATTGGTCGCACATCTCAAACCCACCTCCTCTCCTCTGGACATTGTCCTAGCCAGGATTATAAAGGAGGCTATCGATACGGTAGGGCCTACCTTGGTCAATCTCATTAACGGCTCTCTTAGATCAGGGTTAGTTCCCACTGCCCTTAAGCATGCTATAGTGAGACCCCTTCTGAAGAAAGTTAATCTTGATCCAGCTGATCCGGCTAACTTTCACCCTATTTCTTTACTGCCTTTTTTAGCTAAAGTAATGGAAAAAGTGGTTCTTACGCAGCTGCAGTCTCACCTTGAGGGTTTGGACATTGCTGACAAATTCCAGTCAGGTTTTAAGGCTCGACATAGTACAGAGTCTGCTCTGCTGAGGGTCCATAATGATATTGCCATGGCTCTTGATGCCAAGCACCCCATTATTTTAGCGTTACTTGATCTGTCGGCAGCATTTGATACTGTTGACCATGCAGTTTTATTATCTACACTGGAACACCTTGTCGGGCTGAGGGGCACGGTTTTAAATTGGTTTAGTTCTTTCTTGAGAGATAGAACCTTTTCTGTCATTATTGATGAGTTTTCTTCTGATACAGTCCAGCTAACCTCAGGCATTCCACAGGGGTCGACCTTGGAACCACTACTTTTTTCCTTATATCTCACCATTGGCGTCAATTATATCCAGGCATAATGTTCATCTTCATTTTTACACGGATGACATTCAAATTTATTTGCCACTGGTACTATCCGACCCAAATGCATTTACTCCACTGTATGACTGTATTCGGGATATCAAGAATTGAATTGTTAAGAATTTTCTCCACTTAAATGAGAATAAGATGGAATTTATCTTTATCAGCCCCGATCCAGCCGCAGGTGTATCCAGCTTACGCGCCCCTGCTCCTGCACTCACAGACATAGTAAAAAAACCTGGAAGTGATATTTGATACCGGTTTTAATTTTGATAAACAGATCAGAGCCGTTGTTAAGACCAGTTTTTTTCACCTCAGACTTTTAACAAAGGTTAAGCCTTTTTTATCCCGGGGAAACTTAGAAAAGGCGATCCATGCTTTTGTCACTTCGTGTTTAGATTATTGTAATGCACTGTACGTTGGTATATCTCAGTCGCTGCTGAGGAAACTCCAGCTGGTCCAAAATGCGGCAGCTCGGCTTCTGTCCAACATTCCCAGGTTTGCCCACATTACTCTGGTTCTTCACACATTACACTGGCTGCCTGTACATTTTAGAGTTGAGTTTAAGGCCACGTTCACACTGCAGGCTGAAGTGGCTCAAATCCGTACTTTTTGCCCAAATGTGACCCATATACGATTTCCTTATGACAGTGTGAACAGCACAAATCCGATTTTGCCAAGGCCACTTTCATATGTGGTCCTAAATCGGATACATATCCGATGTTTTGCAATGCAACTTCAGTCAGAACGGCCATGTCACATTTCATGCAATTTTTATGTCATTGAAATGCGACAAACATCACAATTTTGCGCTGGAGGAGGCGAGGCCATAAGCAACATTTGTGCTCTCCTTCTTCTTGATATTCTTCTTCTTCTTATTTCTGTATTTCGATTGCACATTAACTGGTACATCGCTACGCACATGCTATCACGAGCTGCATTCATTTTTATTTTCGCAAACACAGTACGCTGCGTCTGATGTCACGTCCTTTTCTGCGCATGCGGGTCACCTCAGGGCCGTATACCGTTCACACATGAGACAGATGGCAGTCGCATTTAAATGACAGTGTGAACAACAGCGCAAAAAAATTGGAGTTCGGCAAAAAAATCCAATCTGAGCATTAAGACCTGCAGTGTGAACGTAGTCCAAGTCCGTTTTATTTGTGTTCAAAGCCTCATACGGCCTTGCCCCACTTTACTTGGCTAACCTTTTATCTATTTATGTGCCGCGTAGAGCCTTGCGCTCCTCTAAAATCCTATCTCTAGTGGTCCCACGGTCCCGATCCAAAAAATGGGGTGGCCACGCATTTGCTGTTTATGGCCCTAGACTTTGGAACTCACTACTGCTAGAGATTCGATCTACGACCGAGCTAGCGGTTCTTAAATCCAGATTTAAAACGCACCTTTTAAAAAAAGCATTCGATCTTTAATTTGTTTTATTTGCCGTTGAATGGCATCGTGCACATGTTTTATATTTTATGATTATCTGGGTATTGTTTAGTAGCGTTTTCTCTGTTTTAGTATTGTTTTAGTGTATAGTTGTCCTTATTCTGTGCAGCACTTTGGGCTCTGTGAGTTGTAAAGTACTATATAAATGATGCTTATTATTATTAATAATATTACTGTTCTTCCTTTTATGTAACTGTAATGCCGAGAGACTGCAAAGTAAGAATTTCATTGCATGGTGTAACTTTTTTCTCTGTTCATATTTGATTTGGGGCGGCATAGCGGCAAAGTGGTTAGCCTCACAGCAAGAAGGTTCTGGGCTCAAGCCCCGGCCAACCCAGGCCTTTCTGTGCAGAGTCTGCATGTTCTCCTTGTGCCTTTGTGGGTTCTCTGCAGGTATTCAAGCTTCCTCCCACAGTCCAAAGACATGCAGCTTAAGTTGACTGGCGACTCTAAACTGCCCGTAGGAGTGAGTGTGGTTGTTTGTCAAATCCTGGGGTAAAATGCATGGTTAATATGCACATATGTAAATTCTGTTCTTTATAATACTTGATTCTGTCTATTTTTGAGTACTTGGAATTTATTTATCAGGATGTGTGTGCGGTGCTTGTTCTCATAGTGTTATGTTGTTTGTTCTCCATTGTTGCTGAAACACTGAAATTTCCCCATTGAGAGATCAATAAAGTACCTACCTACCTAACTACCTACCTTATCTACATGCCAGCCCTGTGATAGACTGGCGACCTGTCCAGGGTGGACCCCGCCGCTCACCTGATAACAGCTGGGATTGGCTCCAACTCCCCCAAGACCATATTCAGGAATAAGTGGTGTAGATAATGGATGAATTGAATGTGTTAATAAAAATAGAAAACTGAAATACAAGAAAAATGTTTTTCCTCATTTTCTCTTCATTCAAACAGCTATTAACATTATAAACCCACAATGACAGACCTGAACACTGACACCTACACATCAGCGATTCCTGAACAACCACAACTCGGGAAAGTCATAATGGGCATTTTCCCCATTATCTGACGTTCTTTGAACATACGGATAAATCAAATCAAGAAAATAATCAGTGGATTGATCCATGAGCAGTTTTTTCAGCTTTTTAAAATTTACATTAATTTATTCCAGACTTTTTTCATTTGTCACCATCTGTGCACTAAAGTGTAAATATCTAAGTGCAGACTACTAATCCTGACTCAGACTGATTCAGGAATGTGAAATCTTAATGGCATTAATGTTTCACTCCATCTGTCTGACTCTGGTGAATCATTCAGGGGTGGTGGTTTTGAAACCCACTCACTCACCCAGTCAGTCCACCGATGTCTTATCCAGACTGATGAGAGACTTCCCCCAGGTCTCTCCTGACTATGATGACTCACAGGATGGGACTGAGATTGTGGCCTCCTTACTCTCATTGCTTCCATCCTGTTCACTTCTCTGTATCATACCTCACAGAAGTGAGGACAACATCTGGAGTGAGTCTGTGGAGCCTCAGACATGATGACTATTTTTAACCTGTGGGCTTGGCTCTGCCAGGACTCACGCTTTGACACTTAACCACAACCACACAGTCACCCACAATCTTTTAGGCAATGATGAGTGAATGAATCAGATATTTTTACTTGAGTGAAAGTATCAGTACCGCAAATATTACCAGTATAATTTCTACATGAATAAGTGTACAGACATGCTAGAAACATTTTCACCTCCAATTTATCACTAGTTCTTTATAACAACACTGAACTGAGTGACTGATTGTTGTGTGACACAACGCATTCTCACATGACTCCTTCTGTCTAGAGTTTGTTTTAGCTCGTTGTGGTTTTATTGCTCACAAAAATACTGTTCATTAAAAGAAAGAAAATGTAGTGGAGTGGAAGCAAGTCATCAACTAAAAAAATCCCATAGTTGTACTGCATTGATAACTTGTGTTTCTGGTCACCTGATGAATGTAGGTTTACTACTATGTATAGAAGGTACTCACAGTTTGGGTTGTAGCAGTACACATCCCATTTCTCACTTCTGTTGAGCCTGTATCCATAGTCAATGATGCCAACTTTCCCAAATCCACAGTTGGCACCGGCTTTGACGATGGGGTAACCAACACGTCCTCTGTCGAACCATCCAGCTGCACACACATGGAAACCTATGCAGCAATACACAGTCAGTCAGGGGTGTAACTTCCTCTGGGGATGAGGGGGACATGGTCCCCTCACTTTTATTGTCTCAGGTTGATTTTCAAACTACAGCCTCTCTTTCTAAAACATTTTCCTAATCCAGAAGTGAGAAAATAAAAGCTGGCCAAAATATTGCTACACTTATTGACGTGTGAGTGTGCGCTCAGCATGTGGTACAGCAGGCTTTGCAGAACCATTTTTATCTGGGGTATTGCCTCCCAGGCTGTAAACAGGCTGTCCTACCTTACTGGTGAAGGTTGTTGGGGCTGAACTGTAGACTCAGAATACTTTGTTTTCTGGTCATATTTTATCTACACTTAATATTCTCCTAGTCAGTCAAAGGCAGTAAAGCACAGAGCTCTTTGCTGTTAACATGCAAACACAATTATCAATCAGAAAGTACTAAGGACACATACTGTACCTACATAGTACTATTTTCTTCCAAGCACAGAAAGTCTTTCTTTTGGAGCCTCAAAAGAAAAAACCTGAATAAGATCCTTTTGGTGACCACTACATGTTTTTTTTTGTTTTGTTACTGTGTTGTTTTTCCTATTAGTGGAGTCAGAAAAGAGGCCTAAGAGGTTTTAGACCCCAGGCCAAACAGCCCAGATAAAGGAGGGACCTCCTGGCTGGACCACCATGGGGTAACCGCTGACAGGGAGGTGGATCATACTGCCAGAGCACGGGGCTGGATTCAATCTCTCTGCCATGGGAACAGTGAACATCCACCCAAGAAGGTGTTAACAGGTTTCTACAATACAGGCGGGGCAGTTGACAACTGGATACAGAGTCATGCAACAGCCAACTGCTCATGGAAAGGGGTGTTTCCCAATGACCTTTACCCTCTGAACCCTCTTTTCCAACATGATAAAAGTATTCCAGTGGGTTCAAACATGTGCCACTACTGCTACAGCAGAGCACTGTCCTCAGGCAGTTTATTTCAAGGCAGAAAGGAAAGATAAACATGGCCATGCCTGCCTGCATTTTGTGAGATCATGTAAACTGAAGCAGTATGTGTGCTGTGCTGGCAATGACAACAGAGGTGAGATCATGTAAACTGAAGCAATATTGAACAGCACTGTGTGTGTGCTGTGCTGGCAATGACAACAGATCTGCTCTGATTGAGTGATGAAGAACTAAATTATCTTTGGCAGGAGCTCTGGATGAGTGTTGTTGTGTTTGTGAAGAGCTGCTGCAGACCGATCTGACGAGCTGCCTCCAGTTGTTCGTAAGTGGCCAGCGCCCCTCCCTCGTATTTGCAGACGGCCATGGCCTCTTTATATGTCAGCTGGTATCTGCCTTTGCGTGATTCTCGGTGGTAAACTCCAGCTGCTTGTTCTGTCAGAGAGAAAGAGAGAGGACAGAAAAAGCTGTTGGGCTTCTGTGCTCACTTTCATTTGTATCAAAGTTATGTGACACACATTCAGGAAGTCTAAGGCATCATTGGGGCTGCAGCCAGGCTGCAAGAGGGTTTTTGGTGAGGGGGAAGGTTAAACTACACTAAATATAAAACATGAATGAGAAAGATCTGGGAGACCTTTTTGCTTCACTTTGGAAGTTCACCAATAATTTGGTCACTTGCTCCCTGGCCACCTCAGCGGGGAGTCCTTTGCTGATCCTGTGGTGGCTTCACACATGTATGACTGCAGCAGAAAGCACTCAGGAATGAGTCTCTGGCCATTTTTGGATCTTTTTTTGCTCGTCTGGTGAGTAATTTGACACTATAATTGTATTGTAGAGCAGCTGGTCAGCAGCTGTTGTTTTAAAATGTGCTTTACCAATAAAGTGACACTGAAATAATTAAATTCTCATGTTCACTGTGGTAAATGACTCCTTTGTCAGTTGCCTCTGTTTAGCACTACTTTTAGTGTTGAGAGTGTGTGCGCCTGATGTCATATTGCCCTGTTAGAAACTTCTGATGCTGCCATCCTGGGACTTAAATAAATAAAAATAATGACACACATTTTGCCGCACTCTGTATCTCACCCTACACACCAGCAAATCTCTGTAAAAAATGACAAACTTAATCCGCAATCTGGAGCAAAGTTTAGACAAAACATCACTGAGGACAAACGCTACTTCCAGTAATATTACGAAATGCTGTTCACATGGCTCAGGTAAAGCAGACTCATTAGCAACATGAAACACAGTAACAGCAGGGTTTCCCGCTCACCTCAGAAAAATAGAAAGCACCAGGCTTGTTAGGTTGGAGCCAGAGGTGCAAGCACCTGGTTTGATTTAGATCTTAATACAAATGTGGACAGAGTCAGAGCTGAAGAACATGTGAAACCCAGGCTGCTTCCAAAGAAACAGAAGATACTGTAATTGAATTCTTTGAAATGAACTCATTTCCTATGTTTACTGGCCTATAACGTTGAAACTGCGTCTGATAATTGGAATGAAGATGATCCTCGTTTTGACAAATAACCAAGAAAATCAATGTGTTTGGTAAACAAGCTAAACGCCGCTGATTGTGTACATATCGCCTACTTGATCATTTAATCATAAAGGTTTATTCAGATCAACACAACGAGCACCATGAAGTAAACCAGGTGGTCGTAGGTGTCCCGCCGTAACCACAGTTTTCCAGCTACAACGACCATAACAGCTAAGAAAAAAAGGTTATTTACCCAGCCATATTGAGTTATGAAATACTCCGTTTTTGAAGCTCCATGCCTGCGCCTCTTTCAGCAGGGACCCGAGTGTCCAGAGGGCAGCGAAGAGGCGCATCCTGCAGCCCCAGGCCTCAGCGCGCAGCTGTTGTGTCCAGATGTTTCCAGGAGCTCTGGCCTCTGTTGCTCTGCTGCTGGTGGTTTTACTCAGGAAAGACTGGCTGCTGCTACCCCCAGAGGTGGGACGGTATTCAGTGCACGTATTCAAGTACTGCGTGTTAATTCGTTACAGCTGCTGGTCGCTTAAATGTCTCCGTGTTTTGTTTATACGTTTTGTTCTGCTTGTACCTGGTCACAGTGTAGAAATACTTGGCTGCAAGTAAAAATGCTGCACACTAAATTGTGCCAAAAATAAACGTATTTTTAGACACAGCGACCTAATTCAAAAGGATGCATTTCTATTGGCTTGCTGATGCCTTAACGTGTGCATCAGTTTGATCAGGGTGTAATATTTCTATTTCAATGATGTCACACAGAACAATGGTACAGCTGGTAAAGGTGGAGCTGATTTTAATAATGTTGCACAGTGCTTACTGAGAATTTATGCTATCACATCGTTATTTATTATTTAATTAGCTTTATGTATTATTTATCGTGTATCATTATTATTTATTGTGAAGTGTAAAGCATCAGTTTGAACTGTAGCAGAGTGAAAGTATAAAGTGGCAGAAAGTGGAACTTCTTCAGTAGAAATGCCTTAAAAACATTTTTAAGAGTAGTATTTGAATAAATGTTCATTTCTACCACCGCCTTGAGATGTTTTTTACATAATGTCTCACACCTGTGTGTGTGTATATATCTCCAACATGGTGACCTGGTCTTTCATTCTGAAACATCATCTTTTCTGGCTGCTGCTTGGAGACACAGGGACACATGGAGCTTCATTGTTCAAGTTTTATAACGAAAAACAGGTTGTAGCACTCAATCAAACTTGATTTATTTATTTAACACTTTATTTCTTTGCCCTCCTGGTTCATAAATAGTCTAGTGCAAAGCCAAAAAGAATAAATCATTTTTGACCTGATTGTAAACAAGGGCAAAAATCCATAACTAAAAAAATGTAATGCACATCTGTAGCTACATTAAAAACAGATTAAACAGGGTTACTTTTTAGAAAGCAGTACACTTCACAGAGGGTAGTTTGGCATTAAATCATCTGTATTTTAACGCTAGCACATATTTTCTGGATTAACTGACTTATAGCCACAAGGGCAGGTCAGATTTAAATGAAAAACATTATTGTAGTGCAGATCCAGGATTCCTCGGCCCCTGCCGCTTCATTTTTATACATTTCTAAATCACTGATGTACTAAACTCAGTTCAATCAGAGAAATTCAAGCTGCTCTAAAACCATGAGCAGCACTGTGAGACTGATGAATGTAAACCTTATATCTACTCTTCTTTAGCTCTCCTTTGGACTTTTTAGCTGCTAGATTGTATGTATCCTTAGCTGTTTGGTGCTAACTTTGTCTGTGTGCAAATCAATTTGTGTTTGTTTAGCTGCTGCTGGAAATGAGGCTGACTGAAACATTCTGAGAGAACCAAAGCAGTAAATATGCCATAAAACCAAACCTATGCCCTGTAGGTGACTTTCTGTGGGAGTCATCCCTAATGCAGCTTGATTAGCCTTCTGAATGAGGGACCATTGTTGTGTTGGGTTTCCACAGAAGAAGGGATTACAGCTCCTCTTGCTCCCCTGCTGCGTCCCAGCAGCACCATTGCTCAACAATATATGACGTTTTTCCAGATGTTAGGTGTCTCCAGCAGCTTCAGTAATGGCCTTCATCACCAAAAACATGGTCTGAGTTGAAACAGGAGGCAGGATTTTCCAGTTAAGGTACAGTAACTTTCCTAATAGTAATATCTGTGACAACCAAGACCTTTACTGTTAAGGCTAACCACCATTATTATAGAAATGTGCACAGCAACCATAAATGAGTGAGCAGTTTTAGTTTAAAATACATTAATATGGTTACAGTTGCCTGTCAAATAGTGAGGCAATGCATATCTCATTGAATTAAATATTGTTTTCTGAAATACAGTTGGAAAACCACACTGAACTTTTCATATACTCAAAATTCTGAGTAAATAATGCTGTAAACCTCAGTCTACTAAAATTATATTTCCTCTTCTGAGAGGGTGCACACCCACCTACCCACACACACACACACACAGAACAATGGCTGCTGGATCAAAATGTCCTGAATTGGCCAGATCTAGGAAATAATGAGAGCTCCTCTCCCAGTCAAACCCACACATGGAAAGTTCATCTCAGACCCAGTACTTGTGACAAACTGTAAATTACATCTGATTATATTTAATTGGGGATTCATCATTGTTTCCATGTGTCGTACAATTAAAGGAGGGTAAACTAGTTAGGCAGCCCGGAGTGAGTAGGCTGTGTAATGGCTCAACAATAAACATGTCCTACATTATTTATATTACTGACGTCACGTCTGCCATGAAGGTAACAAATGCAAAAACATGTTAACTGAACAGAAATAGAGGAAATGACAGCATGATGTTGGCAGAGCTCATACAGTGCCAGAGGAGTTTCTTGAATTTAAAACTGATCTGGTTGCTGTCATTTCTTTCAAGCTAAATTAGGTTTGCGTCAGTGAGATGTTGAAGCAGCAAAGCCAATATCTTGTTTAAATGTACAAGACAACAATAAGTTGGCTCAAACTGATCAGCAGTGCAGTAATGATACTGGGGTTGTGAGAAAACGTACTCATGTACTGAAAGAAAGGACATCTAAAGAACGAGTCTAATCCTCTTGCTTCATGGACAACATCCACCCTCTCCATTATTACTGAAATGACACCATCAGAACAGAAGAAACATTAGCTTTAAACAACATCTCGCGCCGTTGTGTGGCAGCCTTGTCGTCATCGGTGTGTGAATGGGTGAATGGTGTATGATCTCCTGTAAAGCGCTATGGCCAGTGCAACACACTGTGAAAAATGCGCTATATAAATACAGTCCATTTACTATTTACCATTTAATTTTCAGTACATAGGCACAAAATGTACCAAATTGTCTTTGGTTTCAAAAACCATGCCTAATAATAAAACATGTTTACTACACTGTTTATACAAAATTGTGAGAAACATCTTGGGTACATAAAGTGCAAAGATAAGAACAGTGATAATACAGCAACAGAATAAGGGCACGTCCAGAAATGGGACTATAATTTGGAAAAGTTGCTTCTAGCAGTTTGTGTAGTGACGCAGCAGCTCACAACAGGCTACACCAGAGTAGAAAACAAACATGCCTTTCACTGATGCACAGCACTGGAGATCTTCTGTTGTCACCTAAGGAGGAACAACCCCAACATAATCATGTAATGATATGACAGGTGGATCAAACACAGTTAACCTTTAATACTTAATGAGGAGCTTAGTAATTATTACTTCTGTAGTATAAGGTGGCTTTTTCCACTTTAGTTACACAGTAACAACACGGATTTACAAAAAAACTTGAGTGTTCCACTAAAACAGCCCAATGTTTTTTCTAGATCATTGTCTCTACACCACACAGACAGCCCAGTCTTATTCTTCCACTGAACTAGTCGATATTTTATCAACAGATTACACTGAAATCTGCGGGCTGTGTTATTATAAAGAGTTACTGTTTCTCTTATATTGGCATTGTGTTGTCAGGAAGTGCTCTGCTGCTTTACTTGTAGGGTTCACAGTGGAAGGAGTCACAGGAGTAAGAAGATGAGGAATCCAGACTGATTAGAAACTCACTGTCTCATTTACATGCAAAGGCTTCAGCCCAGTGACACACGAGGGTGTCCTTCTGGAAAACCGCACGCACACCTGCAACGTCATGAACACTTTTCTTCAAAGGTTTAAAGTAACCCAAGTACATTTATTCAAGTACTGTACTTAAGTACAATTTTGAGGTGTCTCACCCTGAGTATTTTCATTTTCTGCCATTTCAAACTTTGACTTCACTACATTTATTTGATCGCTTTAATTACTAGTTACTTTTCTGAATCAAACAAAACAGTATATTCATTAGACATTATTGATCTTGTCATATGAGATCCTATATAGACAGAATTCACAAGGTTTACTGACAGCTTTTCATTCACCAGGTGGCAGCAGACTGTAGGACAATAGAGAGCAGTCAGGCTTCTTCCATCCATCCATTCATTATCTATATGGCTTATTCCTGAACAGGGTCATGAGGGGCTGGAGCCAATCCCAGCTATCACTGGGTGAGAGGCGGGGTCCACCCTGGACAGGCCACCAGTCTATCACAGGGCTGGCATGTAGACAAACAACCACATAGACTCACACTCACTCCTACTGGCAGTTGAGAGTTGCCATTCAACCTAAGCTGCATGTCTTTGGACTGCGGGAGGAAGCTGGAGCACCTGGAGAGAACCCATGCAGGCACAGGGAGAACATGCAGACTGCACACAGGAAGGCCCCTGGTCGGCCCAGGCTCGATCCCGGAACCTTTTTGCTAACCCCTGCGCCACTAGGAATGTGGTACTTAGAGTACAATTTATTCCTGGTTTCTTCTAAAATGCCCGGTTCTTCCCCATAGTCCAGTTTTCTCCCACTGTATCTCTGTTTAAGAAACATTTTACTGGTACCTGATTCACATAACAAAGTTACACTGTAAATCATCTGTGTTATAATGTGTTATCTGAAGTTAACTGATTTGAAAATATGCATACACATTGGCCAATAAAAAAAAAGCAATACTGATACCACCGGGGAAGGCAACATGACAGCATCCAGACATGGTGCCAAACAAATAAACATGGACGGTGACCTGCTCAGTGTACACTCAAACATCAGCCTTACAGTTTACACCAGAAGATCCATCAGGGGATGATTTATATATGTGTATGGACCAAAGTCATGTTGGAACAGCAACACCACACACTAGGTGCCACATGACAGAGTGCAGGCTTGGTGTTTCCTTTATTTTGTGCATTTCAGGTTGAGATTTTAGATCAAGTTCATGATGGCTAAACTAAAATGAAACTAAACCAGACTGGTGAATGAAGGTTATTACTGCCGTAGTGCTGTCAAA